GAGCTGTGGATCTGCTTGTAAACAAGACTAGCACTGTGAGATAAAAGAAACAATGGGATGGATTGCACTGATTGATGAATGGAAAAAGTTATTTTCCTTTACAAACAAACTGTAGGGCTGCTGATAAATGAAATTGGATATCGAAAGATGAAAGAAGCAACAGGGGAAAAACTATGAATTCTATAAGAATTGAAAATTAAAAGAGAGGGTCAGAAATTAGAGGGGAATTGCAGGTATCAGGCGTTCCGGGAAGTCTGTGCCTCTCAAGTACCTCAGCCCAAGGGGAAAAAAAAAAGGAAAAGCCACCCGGAAAAAAAGAAAAAAAAGGAGGCTGAGTCCTCCAAAAATTTGAGAGTTCCCAGGGGAATGTCCCATGGCCTCTCCCTTTGTTCGAATAAAGCAAAAAGGACTCCTCTGTCTCCTTTTTGGACAGAAACCTCTGGTATTTGTAGATGAATTAATTTTCCTGACACTGGTTTGAAAAGACAGGTATGTGCTAGGGAAGAGCAGGGCCTTCCCTCAAAATGGAGCTAATAAACCCCTCCCTCTGAATTAGTATAATTTTGGAAGCAAGGGACTCTCAGGCAAAGATATGGGGATAGTTCTTTACTGGTATATCTAACAAGACAAACAAAACAACAACAACCATGAAATGAACAACAAACAGAACAGGAGCCCAGTTCCTTCTTGGCCACAGGAGCCTTCCCTGTGCTGCAGGTACCGAGGGTGGAGGGGCAGGTCCCGGTGGCTGCAGGGGCTCTGGGGTGATGGCAGCAGTGTCCCAGGTGGGAAAGGGATGGAAGAGAGACTTTTTGCTCCTGGTGTCAGCCCTGGTGCTCAGCAGGGTGCTTGGAGATAGCAGGCAGAAGTGAGAAGGCAGCAGTGAGGGGTCCTGTTATAAATTCACGAGAAATTATGATCTCTCCAACGATTATTTATGAACAGAAAAAGCAGCAAGCAAAGAGCGCTGGGTGTGCAGGGGAGTCACTGCCCCACCACAACGCACACCACATAGCAGAAATCCAGCTTTTTTATACAGTCTGAGTTTCATAACCTCCACCTGCTTTCATTTCCTTGATTCCACATTGAGAGTTGTCTTCTGCCCAGGTGTTGGTTGTTGCTAGGGGGTCGTTTTGCCCTCTTTCAGTGGTCTTTTGGATGAAGGCTCGCTGTCTTCCTCAGTGCCTTTTCCTGCCCTTTTCTTTCTGCATGTGTAGTTATTAGCCATTTATATAACTATGGTTATTTGCTTAATACAATTTTCCACAACTTCCTTATTTTTTTGCTATGTGCAAGCAAAATATGACCACAAGTTCCTCATTTTTGTACAAACAGACATAACCACAAAAGCTCTTTAAGCTCAACTGTGCAATTAAACCAAGACACCAACATAGCTACCATTTCTCTTAAGTAAGCAGTTTCAATTTCTCTTAACAAGCATAAATACAATCTTTTTATTCCATGTTTTATTTGACTTAAAATTGATTCTTATAATCATCCCAGGCACTATTTGCACTTAACATACAGCATGTGCATGGTTTTACTTCTGATATCACCTTTTAACCCAAATCACACATACACGTTTCAGTCTGACAGCAGAAAAAGTGGCTCCCAGTGTTGGGATGGCAGGGGTGGGGGGTGGCAGTGCTGGTCATCCTCGTCCCACTCCACGAGCAAATGGGGTGAACCAGTGCCTCCCCCTCTCCTTTCCCTGCTTCTGACCTCGCAGTTTTTTCCTCCCCTTTCCCCCCCATTCCCCCTGTCACTAGCCATCCATGCTAGGGCCTAGCCATCAGGCTTCTTAGCATGGCAATGGGGAAAATTCCACAGAGAGGAAAGGGAGAAAACCAACCCCCAACACACTGACAGCAAATTTTTGCACCTGAATTTAGGAATGCACTGAAACTGCTGGTGTCAATGGAGCAAATGAGCTAAAACATTTCATAAAGGAAGAATTACGTGGAACAGTAACTTGGCTTCATGATATGATTGCATGCAAATGCTCCAGCTTACAGCTTTTGCTGCAAGCATTCTAAGATGTTCAAATACATTAAAATACCTATTTATTTTGAACAAAATGATAATTTAATTCTAAGTCTAGAAGACACTTCCTAATTAAAACAATTATCCTATATAATTTTTAACTGGTTACTAAAGTTATGTTTACAGATACTTCATTACTTACTTTTTAGCTTGAAATGTCCAAGATCTTCCATTCACCTACTTAATTACAAATAAAGTAATTGCAATAAAAACTGTGTAGAATTCTAATTAGTTTACTTGTTGATGCTCTTTGTGGAATGCTTAATAGGAAAATGAGTATAACCTTTAATCTTTATTATTCTTAGAAGTCAGAACTTCTATTCTGAATCAATAGGCCTTTGTAAATTTAAGATTTCATTGATTAATTAATCTGACTTCGAATAGCTCCTTTATAGCAGAAGACACGTGTTCTTCCAGAATATGTACCTAATCAGACTTCTTTCAGAAGAAGAAATAAGATTTTAATTCAGAATTTAACAAAAAACAACTCTGTTGTACTTTATATGTTTTTACTGGTATGCTTCATATTCTGCTATAAAAATTAGTGCTATTTATCAGGATGCAAAGTTGTTTTTAACAGTGATATGTGATTTGTTAAGTAGCATAAAATTGCCCAAATTGTAGGCAAGAAGTTGTCATCTACTTCTGACAAGCTCCTACTTATTAGACTCTCAATAATACTAACTTTTAATGCTTGCTCTCATTTCTAAAAACATCATTAAGTTCAATTTGAATCGAGACTATTTTGCTTGTATTCTGATAACCCTGCTGGGTGTTTTTGTTGTGACTAGACTGGATAATGAGACAGAATTGGTAAATTGTTAAACCTAGCTAAATCTCCAAAATAAAGTCCATCTCCTAACTTTAGATATTTTCATTAACTTTTGGTTTTGGGCAAATTCTGTGTATGTATAACTATATAATTTTGCTAGGTTTATTTGGCATAAAATGTGGAAATTGCTACAACTGTCTAGTACATTGTGTGTGCCCTGTTGCCAAACAGTTTTTCACATTCTGGGTTACTGCACGGTATTCTCAAAATAGCCTATGTAGAAATTACTTACAAAAGACTAATGTATTAGTAGAAGTTATTTCTTAAAATAGTTTATACTGGGCAAAAGGAAGATAAATGAATAAAAATGTGGTGATTATATGTCATTCTTACTTTGGTTCTGAAATATGGAAGAGGGCTACTGAACCAACCATCAATAATCTCTAGAGGGACTGGAGGATAATGAGTTAGTCAGACCAAAGGGATGACTTGATATCCTGGGTTAATTAAGTGCAAGTCCCTGATGAAACAGTGCCTTTGGCACATCTATTTCACCATCATCCCCAATGGTGATGCTGATTTTTATGTGAAACCATTAAGATGTGTGTAACACCTTCACTTTATGTTCACAAGTACAACACAGTTCTTTAGGTGTACCCCTGGTGAGCAGGAGATGAGTCAGGTGTGCTTCATGTCTTTGATTTTTATTTTGTTTACCTTTGTTCATCTTGTATCTGCTATTCAGTTCCTTTTTTTTCAGGGCCAGTTATCTTATTCTGTGTTTCTATAGTGGTTAGTACAATAAGGTATTGCCCTTTGGTGAGTTACAAGATAAATTCTCAAACAAAGAACCTAAATAAATAATTCACTGTGACACTTATGAGAGCAACACCCAGCTCTTTGCAAATCATGTTTTGAAAGATACAATCTGGATTGTTGGATTGTCTCATTCAAAGTAACATCCTAGTTCCTTTCTGTTGTATCAGAGATCATGGGCATCCATGTCAAACAGCTGGGAAAAATTTATTGTTTCTGTAGTAGTGTATACTGTTGAATGGTAGAGCAACAGTGAGATGTGAAATTGTATCAGATCTCCTCCTTATTTTGGAATCATGAAAATGAGGTTTAAAATTAAAATTTAGGTTTTTTGCATTTGCTTTAATAAAAAAAGGTTTTTTTCCAAGAGAAACTCAAAGCTTCTGATTATGGAATTAGATCTTCCAGTGTTTCATTTGGATGTGGACCTAAATTTGAACTGGATGGAATTGCATTTTTTGCTCTAATGACAGATTGTTCATGTGCACAGTGTACAGGAAAGCTATTGCTATTCAGTAATAATACATTCCTGAAATGTGATGGATTCTGTTTTTATTTGTATATTTACAGTTCATTAACACAGGAATAGTTGGTGTTCATATTATTTTAATTTCTTTTTAGTGTTAAGCGTGTTATAATCAGCCCTTGTATATCTGCTTATTGAATACTTATGATTTTGACCAGTTTTTAAAAATATTCACACTGCAGAGAAATCTTTACCTTTGACTGTTGGTTATGGGATAATAACAGTGAGGAGTGGAAAAATAATTACTGTGAAGAATTAATTTTGTCAAGGTTTTTTATTTTCCCTGAAAATGAGAAGAAAGACATTTTAAACTCCTACATATTGAGTTCACAAAATGCTGTATCAGATAACTAACTTTCTGCTGGTTTTGATTACTTGCAGTTTTAAATTATGAAATTTAGCAAAAACACCCCTTGATTTTGATCATCAAGGTCAAGTGATGAGACCTTGGCCCTATTACTGAGTTGTTAAAATGATTTACAGAAAATTATATTGAGCTATGAAGTTGAAGCCAAGCAAGGATTAGAGGATTTTTTTTCCTGCCCTTTTGTACCTCAATAAATTAAATCTAAATTGCTTTCAGTTGCTAGTGTTCTGGAAAGGTTTCTATGGATAGTGCTGTTCCCATTGAAGCAAATTTTAATATAAATGCCTTTTAAAATTCTGTGAGAGGGTACTGTGCCTTGATTAGTCTCTCTTGTCTTATTATACCTTTGTTGGTGACTTGAAGTTGTTATCCATGTATTAAATAAAGCCAGTATGATCAAATAGTTAAAGGGTCCCTTAGTGTTTTAGTAACACTTACTAATTAACTGTTTTGGTTTTATTTTGTCTCACTCTCAGAACAAAAGCCTCAAAAACAAGCTCTTGTCAGGAAACAAGCTTTGTGGTATTCACGCAGAAGAGGTAAGGAAGATTCCTCTCTATTCGAAATCTAATGTACCCAAAAGAAGTTTGCATCAAAGTCAGTACAAAACCTGAGGTTCTGGTGTATATACATATATATATATATATATACACACATGTACATACATATATATATACCAGAATACAGAATATATATCATGCTTGTATGGTGAGTGTTCCTAAAGTGCTCTCATCCCAACTCATTTCTGTGACTTCACAAGAAGCAGCAAAAATGTATTAGAAAGCAAGTTGCAAACTTAAGTTTTAGACAAATAAAATCATCTGGGCATGCCTATGATAGAACTCTATAGATATATACATCTATAACAAATTTAAAACATTTTGTTTCCGTGATCTCCATGTGTACACTAAGACAGGAATTGCCAAAGGCCTGTTTTGAAATTAGCATAGAGACAGGAAAGATAATAATCAATAATAATATTGATTCCCAGAATGTTTCATTATTTCAAGGGAAGAAGGGTCACTTTATAAAACCGAGGGAAAGAAATCTTCCCTCTACTGAAGAGAGAGATAGATACAAGTGATACAAAATGATACAAAAGCCCTATTTTTGGCAAATTCCACAATGTAGAACTACCTGCACTCATGTGACCACTCCCTTTATTTAACGTTCATTTATAAAAGCTATTACATGTGAATCTGATTTACTCACATTACTTTAGTCTGGGTTTTTTTCATATATAATTTCTGTTAAGGTCACTGCACCTTGCCAGAATGAAACCAAAGCATAAAATATTTCTTCTGTACTAAAATTTTTCTAATTAGGGTTGAATTCATTTTCTTCATTGGAGTCTCTATCGTTTAACTTAGAGATCAGTATTTAGAAGGTCAAGTTTCTGATAAATTCTCAAAGGCAGGAAATAATAGAGTTAGGAGTATTTTTTTTTAAGTTTTTCAAAATCTTTTATCTTCCTTTATCCCCATTTTGCTCTCAAACACTGTGCTTGTCACAGTGTAGGAATACAGATGTATTTTCTTCCCTTTTTTACTGCTTAAAACAACAGCAGTGTGTGCAAATAGTTTTCTGTTTTCCTCTCTTTTTCAAGCTTGTTTTCCCCAGTGTATTGGGTTTGCAAGGCAAGGTTTTGGTAGTGGGGAGAGGTACTGGGGTGGCTTTTTCTGGGAAGCTTCCAGAAGCTTCCCCTGTGTCCAACAGTGCCAATGTCAGCCAAGTCTGTTTTGCCTATGATGGTAATTGGTGAGCAGCCTCTCTCTATCCTTAACTCGTGAACCTTTTGCTGTATTTTCTGTTCCCTGGCCAGTTGAAGGAGGGATAGAGTGGCTTTGGTGGGCACCTGGCATCCAGACAGGGTCAAACCACCACACCTAGCTGCATAATATTTGAAGCTTTGGTAATTAACTTAAAGATATTTTCTCTGATTATGTCTCTTTTAATATTTGCATCTAAGGACGAAGCCTAAGGATAATTTAATTTTATTACAATGTGACAAGCCCTGGCAGTCAGAGATCTTCAGAAAATTAGACAAAAATTAATAGTCAAGACAGCAGATTGTGAGTGTAGTTCAAAGTGTGAGAATCTCTTACTTTATGAATCATCCTGGCAAATTTGCATCTATTAAGCACATTACCATTGAAACAAACAGAAATTCTACAGAGACATCCTTTTTTTATGATCATTTTGCCAGTTAGGTTGTGCCAGCCAGAGAAACACAGCGTGTTTTCTATTTTTAATTAAGTACTATGCTCACCAAGTATAACAAATGTATGAACTCAGTGTCCTTTCAGTTAATATATTGAATGCCTTTTGTGGGTAGAAATGCCTACCAGGAAGCTGCTGCTTCGTTTTGGTCTCTCAGGCTGAGTGCAGACACACAGACAGTGATTCCTTGTTGTCTAGATGCATCAGTGGGAGCCTGCCTGTGATCCTGCACAGTTTTTGCATGGCTGGATTTTCTTTTCTGAGAAGTCAAGGCCCTGGAGAGAGGAAGGCAGAGTGGTCCAAACATTGGGGTTTCCAGTTCACAGAAAGGGGCACATGCCAGGGCAATACTCCCAGACTCTGGTGTTTTAGAGTCCTGTGTTTAATGGTAATTTTATTTGTCTGACTCTACTAAGTGGTCCTCTCACTTGAAGCACAGAAAATCTGCAAAATAACCAAATTTTATCACAAAGAGTGACAGGTCATATGCATGCTTTTTGACCTGCACTGAATGTATTTGGCTTTATGACTACTTAGGCTTCATATTTACCAAATGAGTTATACCTTAATTGTAACTCTTAGATTCCTCTACAGCCTATTTGGATACTTTGTATATTACAGAAACTGTATATTTTATTAAACACAACCCTCAGAACAATTAAAATCGGTGAATATTTTCTCATTGGTCTTTAGGTGATGTGGAATATATTCCATAGCTCAACCAATTACATTGCCCATGTCAGAGGACAGTGCTGTTGAATGAAATAGCAGCAGATAAAGTCACAGAACAAAGAATTCTGCTGGGCTGATCTTGGCTCTTTGTTTCAGATTTTACAGAATATCATAACCCTTTTGGCCTTTCTATTTAAACATTTAAAACAGGTTCTAAAATTTTATCTTTAGATTCATTCAGTCTTCCCAAAAGTCTGTCTCTGAATTTGACTGCACCAGTTGGAAAGAGAGAAAATCTTTCCAAAAATTCCAACTTATGAAAGATATGCTACTTTTGTAATATGTTATGTTTATGGAATGCTCTTTTAGTAAATGTGAAACAGACTTCTGACCAATTCCAAAGACTTCAAAACACTTGGCATTAATTAATACAAGAAAACTTATTATCAGTTGGGACTGTAGATTTTATTAAGAACAAATTATTATTTTGAGATGATTCTTAGATAAATGGTGAAGTAATATTCCTTGGAGACTTGGGTTTACTACAAAAAATAAATTTCTATTATATTTTATTTACATCAATAAAATAACATATAGACTATTACCTAGAATTATTTTAAGGATATATTTAACAATATACAAAATCAATATCATCTTAAACTGATATAAATAAGCATAGCTATGCCTGTTTTCAGGGGCATGGTTACAAACTGAGAACCTGGTTCCTTTGGATACCACCTGCAACACCCTGATGTTTACAAAGACCTGTGTAAGCCTATGGAGCCTTTTTACTTCTAAGAATAAGATTGTTTACTTTGAAGGTTATGCTTCATGGAAAGTATTAATAACAGCTCATGTGTAAAATGTGTAAGCCCAACAGCTTTTGTTTATAGTACTGACTCAAGTGGGTGCTTTAGGTGGGTGCCACTTTACATTTTCCTTGGTACTTTTGGTTGGTTTGACATGTCAGCCTGGAAAAGCAAGTGGCAATTATTTGGAGAGGGGCATTCTACATTTTAAATCTGATCTAGATTCTGCTGTTCTCAGAATTCATTATGTTTTTTTAATATTTAAAATTTTAAAAACTCAAAACCTGATTTCATTATCCTCACTTTCAGTCAAAAAAGATCCAAGCCCAGCTGAAAGAGCTCCGTTATGGGAAAAAGGATTTGATTTTCAAGGTAAGTTTTATTTCACTATAGTTGGCTAAAGTATTAGGGTTAATATAGCATTGGAGTAAAGTAGGAGTATGATAGCTGCCTTTATTATTGCATTTCTAAGGAATAAGTTTGTTCTGAAAAGAGCTCAAAACACCAAGACAGACTTAATACCATTATGCATTTTCAGAAATCTAATATATCTATAATTTTTGTGCTCACAAAAAGCAAAATTCTCGGTTACTGCTCATGAATAAAACCTGTTGCCCTATTCCATACATTCTGTAACATGTTTTTCATCTTTCTAACTGAATGCTAGAATATTTTACAGATGCTTCTTGTTTTTCCTTTAATTAGCACTCCTCCATGGCAAAGTCAAGTATTGTTAACATTTAAAGCAAATCTCTGTGTTTATGATAAGCTCAAGCAATGTAATGTTCCTTAGGTGTGAAGATTTAAGAAAAAGAAACATCTGTTGTTTAATCCAAATGAATGAGCACTAGAGCCATCAGCTGAGATGTGGGTGCCAAGTTAGGCACTGTGGGTTCTCCTCTGAGTGCTCTTACTGCAAAATAAGGATAGTTACTTGCCTTCTAGGTAAACTATGATCTAATGTAATTAAAAACACTCTGAGAATTTATGATGGAGAATGTTGAATTGTGGATTCCAAAGCCACACATACTGAGAACTATGTATTATATATTTATATGTAAATAATTGAAACATCTCTTGACTGTGTGCAATTCTGTATGAGACTGAATGCCTGCTTTGCTAATATTGATATATCCTTTCTACATAACCAGAAATATTTTTTGCAGGTTTATACATAAATCTTTTTTCTGGCCAAGAAAATTTGATTTATGAAGCAGAGGGAGCAGCAACCTTCTGCTATCCTCCTAAATCCTGTGAGATGGGGGGAGGGTAGGTTCAGAGTGCTTCTTTGTGTGTGTGTTTCATGTGTGAAGACAGACACACTAAGCAGAATAGAAACCATTTGGTGTAGTATGGAAAGTTTTTTAAGTATCTGCTTGTGCTGAGTGGAAGGTAAACCAGTGAGAAGAATGGACTCCACACAAATACCTTGAGAAAGATTTCAAGTCAGAGCTACAATTTAATAGGAAAATCACAGTGAAGGCAGTAGTACAGAAACACTGAGCTAAACTGACAAAGTCAGAACACGACCTGGTACCCTGTTGGTCAGGGTGGTGGTAGCTGTCTAATTAAATGGTGCTTGCAGTCCCATTGGAGTGATGGATGTGGGCTTGTTGAAGCAGTGAGCTTTGGAAAGGTCTGGTCCTTCTCTGGAGGTCCAGTGGTGGTGATAGAGATGTCCTCTGGAAATCCAGTGGTGGTATCCTTGAGTCCCAAACCCCAGATTATAAAGAGGCAGGAATGTTCAGTACCTCCCCTGGGCTGATGTGATTGTGTGAATCATTCTGGGGGGTCCTTGGTGGCCCATTAGCAGAGATGAGCCCTGAGGGTGGCTGCTGCTTCCCCAGAAGGAGCTGTCATGGCTGAGCCATGGCACAGATAGAGAAACAATGCTCCATCCACCTAACAGTTCATCAGAAGGTAATAGATGGTGGCAGGATAGATACTTTGGTTACACCCCATACTGTAACCCAGGACTCTGCTGGATCAGAGAGGCTGCTAGGTTTGGACAAGAACAGGTGATATTTCATTTCTAATTGCTTTGATACTGGAAACCTAGCAGATTTAATGTTAGCATTGCTGTTGAGGCTGTTTTATGAAGCTCTTGCTCTTTCTGATAAATGAAATGGATAGTCTTCCTGACAGCACAGCATGAATGTTTGGGATAAAATCCTAGCTGCTAGCTACTTTCATGTTACTGGACTTCTACCTTTTCCCCTTCCACTCCTTTCCCATCCCACTAAACTTTTTTTTTTTTCTGTTTGGCTTACTTGGGACTTTAGGGAAATCTGCTCTCCATATAGATCCGAACATTGCAAGCTTCCTGGAGCAGTTCACCAGAAAGATGTAAGATGCAGGCTATTAGACTTCCAAAAGGCATGAAGGAAAGCTATAATTCATGTTCAATAAAATAATGCTTTCTCTGAAGGAATTGATTCTACAGATATACATGAAATAAATAGGGAGGGATTGTTTGATTTTTATTTTGTATAATTGACATCAAGAAACTATTTCTTAAAGTCTGGTACCTATTACTGTCAATGACTGTTCTGAACTAGACCTGTGGGGATCAAGTGGGAGAGGAAAAGAAAAGGGGAAAAAGGCAGCTTTCTTTCTCTAACACTCCAGTGATTTGGTAGATCATATCTTCTATATCATATCTCACTTATACTTCTTATGTTTTCAAGGTATTTTATAATCTAGCTGATTAATTAGGGAGCATATATATGTGTATGTTTATATTTTTAAAACTCTCCCTATGTGATATAAAGCCATGGGATAGATAAGTAATGAGCATCACAAAAATTAATTCATGTACCCAAGGCTATAGGGTTTGTCAGTATCTCTACTGAGATTAAAATTTGAGCTCCTGTCTCTTTGTCAAATTTCAGTCCCTTAAAGCAGGCAGCATCTTATCTTTAAAGAATGGACCAAAGTTGAAATTTCTTTGTATTATAATGAGAATACCAAGAAATTATTAATAAAAATTGCCACTGAATGTTCTTAATTTTATCACTGCTTTTGTATGTAAGTACTTACTAGTTTTGAATGACACTACTTTTAATTGCAATAATTTAAATTATCATCCTATTAAGTGAAGTACTCCTAAGTTTAAGTGCTTTGCTAGATTTGTTTCAGGCATTACAGACTAATTCTTTTTCAAATTACTTCTCCTTCATTAACTGTCTTCCTATTATTAGGCATATTATCCTGGAAAATAGGAAACAGGAAGTCTCCTGTTTTACTAAAATAGGAAATAATTTAAAATAGTTTGGTTTTTTTGTTCATGAAATGCAAACGTGTATATATGATAGTAATAAGAGATGAAGAAAAATAAATCTAGCAATGATTTTCAATGTCAATTTATACAAGCATCTTGTATTATTAAAATTCCTCTTGTAAATGTAAAACGTGACCATGCTTTGCTGGTATGGTTTGAGTATATTTTTGCATTTTTCTAAGGCTTTTGCTTCAGTTTCAGATATATTTGATCTACTGCTTCATCTCTTTTTCCTTTTGTTCAAATTCTAAGACAAAATATATTGATAGGAAGTTCTAGAAAAACAAGAAAAAGTTCAAATGTGAGTAGCAACTAAGAGCACCTGGGCTACGTGTACTTAATACATTTAATGTGCATAATCTTTGTTCCATGGTAGAATTTAAATAAGCAAGCAAATAGGATTGGCTATTACAACAAATAATACAAGAACTTAGTACCTTAACAAACATTTATTAGCTTACAAGTCAGGTAACTGCTAACATATTTTCTGTAGATGGTTTTACCATGAGTGACACCGTTTGTAATTTTGCACCTTCCCCTGAGGAGCAAAGCATGTTGGATCCAGTTGGGTGCACAGACATGATCAGTTCCTGCTGAAACTCAGGGTGGGTGTTTACTGAACAAAGATCTGCTCTTGGCCCTGGGGAGTCCTCAAGGCTTCTCCACATGTTCAGAACCTCCAGGTGCCCAGTTAAAAGCATAAAACTAGAGATGTCTGCCAAGTGCAGAGCGTGGCTGGAGTCAGCAGCATCAGGAGCAGCAAATTCAGAGGTGAGCAGATAGAGAGGGCAGGCAGGGGTTGTAGTGGGGATGACTGGGAGAGAGGAACCGTGGACAGAAGAGGGAGGAAGGAGGGAGGGCAGCACTCCCAGAACTCGGCAACCTCTGCTGCTCCTCATGGTTGTTTAGCTTGTTTTCATGATGGCACTCTTGAACTCACACATTTCTTTGGAGTGTAGCTTCACAAAGTAAGAACGGGATTGTAATTTACCCTCAGCACTCTCATACTGCTCAGTAATGTTTCAAGTATTATGAGTGCTCATTGCCTCTAAAGGACTAAGGACCATATCATGATTGCAAATTTAGAGTCAAAACCATTTTCCAAATTCTTTGAAACACCTAGTTCTACACAAATTAAGTCATTATTTGACATGTGAAAATCATTTGAATCATTTGCTATGGTAGAGTCAAATGCAAAACTATATGAAATATTGGCTGGATTTGGTAGATATCTATACCATTCCTCCCTCTGAAGTTAAACTGATGCCATGTGTGTTTTTCTCTCTACTAGCAAAGTTAATTACATACCACAGTAAACTGATTCCCTAGAATTTTTAATTACATATTTTTCTAATTAAGACAATGAGATTCTATATTATATTCAGAGAAAGAGATGAAATAATAAAAGAAAAACAAAGGAAAAAAAACAAGCAAAAAACCACCAAGACCTGCTTTGGCAGAGAACTTTTGTAAACATTAGGATTGCTTTCTGGGCTTGAAATAATTGATTACCTATTTTAGGTTTGTGATAATCTTTTACAGAAGTACTTTGTGTGCTGGCACATACATGAAGATGCAAGCTTCAGGCTTTCCAACACAGTTTTATTTTTATAATGCTGATGACTAGGCTTGATGCTAAATCCCATTTCACATCCACTTCCCTCATGATTTGCATCTGCATGTATTAAAATTATCAGCTGCAGAATTCAGCTGACTTTGCATATTTGAAAAATTAGTCCATTTAACAGATTTTAAAGCATTATTCATTATGTACAAAGTACCATTAAGCTTTTATTTTCCTGTTTTCCTTGCAGAAGGCTTTCTAAATAAAAGAAAAAAGACTTTATTTGTGCATTCATTTGTCTAGCACAGAAAGAATGCTCTTATCTTTCTTGCTGTTTTTACATTGCCCTGTAATGTAAATATAATTTGTGTAGTTCAGTGTTAAAAGGAGATTATAAGAGAAAACTGGGAACAGTTTCCTTTTTGGCCTGTCATATTAACTTCCCTGAGAGAATACTGCAATTTCTCTTGCTTTCAGACAGGATCTTTACTCTGTGGTGTGTTTATTCAATATGTTTTCTCAGCATCT